TTACAACGCGGTTTATGGTATTTAGAAACGAATTATCTTTCACATAACAGAAAATTCTCAATGGATCACTTAATACGCGCCACAGTTCGGTGTACAGAGCTAAATGTCCTCGAAAACAGCTGTTTGTCCACGTTGACGTGTTATTCCCATGAAAGTTTCAGGGGAAGACCGGTTTCTAGACAGATGTGCATCAGTAGTACCATAAACACTCAAATATATTACTGAATTTTCGATAATTTATACTCTTTCAATAGGTGGGGGCCGCAAAAATGGTCCAAAATACAGTATAAACTTCTATTGGGTGTATATTTTTAACAACATAGTGAAAGGAAGTTATTTTTTGCGATTTTTATTGTCCACAAAACTGCTTGAAAAAATTTTAGCCGTAACAATGTCGAATGAAAAGAAAGGACCGTCGTTAGAAAGGAAATTTATTAATATATTTTTTCAAACAAAGATAGAAATTTTGGATCGAATTAAAAATCAAGAGCGGATAGCTGATAGTGATAGGCATTTTAAATGAGTGAACTATTCGGTCGATTAAGCAATAGGAAGAAAATATTAGGAATTCAGTCGCAACCGGATCATCTATTCTTGCGAAAAATGTTGCTCGTCCGAGAGCACCTATAATGAAAAAAAATGGAACAAGCGCTAATATTATGGGTAGAAGATATGAACAAGAAACGGTTGCCTTTAAATAAAAGTGCAGTTAAACACAAAGCCTTAAAAGTATTTGATTATTTAAAACAAATGAGACAGTCGTCGACTGATGAAACCAGTGTTAAATTCGTGGCTAGCAATGACTGGTTTGAAAAATTCTAAAAACGCCATTCAAACGGCAAGTTTTTCTCTTTTTAGAACTGAATCCCAGTTTTTGTATTAAGTTGGTGTCTCCTATAACGCGATTTCCCACAACGCGGTATTTTTAAGGAACGTATGTAGTGCGTTGTAGGAGGCCTACCTGTACTACATAAAGTGAGAGAAATTTATACATTAAATGTGTATACATTTAAAATGTCTACATATGTACAAATATACATGTGTGTGTTGATATATCCTTAAAATTATTTTCTTTTATTTTAAGCAATAATTCTCTTAGCTTTTATTCGTAACAATTATCGAATTTTTTTGTGAAGAATAATGTTTTTTACGGATTACATCATAACTTTCGTCCATGTATATATTGTAATATTTCAGATTCAAGATTTGTGGGTTTCGCGGTTTTTTCATTGTCGGGATTAAGTTTGTGAATTTTTAAATATAAATTCTGATTTTCTTTACAAATAAAGTAATTTTTATATCTCTATTTTAGTGTTTTGTAAAATTTTTGTTTGTTATAGTAATGACGTCACTCTACCATATGTAGAACACTCACCCAGTTGCGCGGGAAAAGCTAGTGCGATAATTAGTTTTTATGGAACTTTCAATAACTAATTACTTATTCTATGACAGATTTACAACGTGTCCGGTTTAAAGATTAATTTTTAAATAAATCGAATTTTGAAGTTTTAAAATGTTTATTGTAACATTTAATTATTCCAAATTATAAATAGCGCTCGGATAAAGAAAATAAGATTGTTTTTTATAACGCTATAGTGAGATAGAACTGTAGGTCACGTGATAATCCGGAAGTCATCTCACAGTAAGCGGTAATCTGTTCCGGTCTAAAGTCATTTACAGAACATTGCATTTAATTTACAAGACGCACAAATTATTTTATTTGATAAAAGAAATATTTACAAAAAATACAGTGGAACCTCGGTATACGACCTTAATCCGTTCCTAGTGTTTGGACTTATACCGAATAGGACGTATACCAAACCAACCTTTTCCATAAGAAGTAATGTAAAAATGATTAATTTGTTCTCATGTAAAAAAATGGCTGGCTTTAAACACCGCTTTCCTCGCTAGTTTCTGCTTGATTTTTCACGAGATCAGCATGTATCCTTTTAACTTTCTCGCAAATAATTGCTTCTGATAGGAAGTCGCCAGCACACTGTTTTTCAGTTATCCAAAGCAAAAGCAATTTCTCAACATGATCTAATGTCTTCGATCTCTGTTTAGAAATTGATTTAACCCCTTTCGCAACGTTAGCAAATTTAATAATGTCTTTATTTTTCACGATTGTCGATATCGTCGTTCTCGGAATATGGAATGCAACAGTTAAATCTCGAAAACGCGTGCCACCTTCATATTTCTCAACAATCTCTTTTTTCAGTTCCATTGTGATTCTAGTCATTTTTTTTATTTTTCTGTTGCCCTTTTGCAATTCAT